CTTTAACTAATTATTTAAGGGGAAACACAAATGATTCTTATGTAAATACAAATGTTAAAAAGGGCAGTAAAGAGAGACAGATGGACTGAGAGAGACAGATGGACTGAGAGAGAGAGAGAGAGAGAGAGAGAGAGAGAGAGAGAGAGAGAGAGAGAGAGAGAGAGAGAGAGAGAGAGAGCGAGAGAGAGAGAGAGACTTAGAGAGAGAGAAGAAAAAAACTTAAGGAGAGAGAAGAAAAGTTAGGAAGATAGGGGGAGAGAAAATAAGCATTGACGTTTTGTTATTACCTTGTTCGAATGCACTTGTTGCCTATGAACGGTCTGTCTTAAATTTCAGACATGTGGAACAAACCGAGAACCTCTTCAATGYAGGAATGAGAACTTTGGGGCAGTGAACCCTCCAAATGGTCATAAATCTGAAACGGGAAAGAAGAGTCTTCTTCGTGTATAGCTCTTTGCACTCTCTCTTGAAGAACTCGTACACGTCTCTGCGYCGGAGAGTATCTGAAAGATGAAACTGGTCGCTATTCGGCATACTCTCAGTGYTAAATCGGAAATATTCATGCAACCAGGTAAGAATTTGTTGTGATGAAGCAGATAATCCGACTGATCTGTTGTTTGCATGCTCATACARCACTAGTCCGTCTCTGAAGTCTTTGCGCAGCTTTGCAACACGTRTGGTCGAGCATCCGTACAACTTTCCCCACGCTTTTGTGSWAACCTTTATGCTGTTGAATGTCACTCTTAACACCTCTAAATCTCCATCATCCGAAAAATACGACGCAACCCTCATCTCTGCAAGAAGGAAGTTGACTTGCTCAGGTTGTTTCATCRCCCAAAATTCTTCCCGCTTGTAGAAAACATCTTCAGCTGTGAATTTTTTGTAACATTTAGCCTTGCAGCAATCTTCCTTCAGAATCACTTCGACATTCGTCATGTTCACGTGATAGTTAGCTTTCTTGTTGTAAACACGTACGTTCCTGCCGCGTTTTCCGAAGTTCTAAGGAGGTTTCTCACTCTTGCTTGATTTGTTGTACAATCATCTTCTCACCTCCTGTGCTACTATCTGTTGCGCTTCTCCTAAAAGTTATTCAGATAAACTTTTTTTGAACATGTCGATATCAATTTATGACTCTTCCTTTCCTTCATCATCCTCGGAGTCTGTGTCGTTTGAATCCTCATCCTCGCTCAATTCCTCCTCATCATCATCGTCGTCGCTTGATTTTTCCTCCTCCTCATCGTCGTCCCTAGATTCCTCCTTCTCAATGTCGTTGTCACGCAATTCTTGCGCAACACTGTTGTTGAACATTTCTTTCACAATAAAGTTTTCGCTCATATCCTGTACATTGTCAATCTCTCTGGATTCTTCGCCTTTAGCGTTCGGGCACCGACGCTTCCTTGGGCGCTCTGTCCGGATTGTACTCCCAGTTTTGTYAGTTGCACAGAGACCTTTCACTGTGTTTGTCGCTCGCCATGGCGYAATAACCCTTCTTGTTGTCGTGTTCGATCGCGGACGCTTCGGAAACAAGCAGACATTGGTCGTCGTCTCACCATTTGCACTTAGTTCCGGTAGAGGGTTCTGCTTCTCGCCTCCGCTTGTACAATATTGACTCAAGTCCGGAAACCACCTAACAATCTTTGTCTTGACACTCTTGGCAGCAACACTCTTCTTACATTGAGAAATGTCTGGAAATTATCTCACGGGGTTAATCTTGCGACAACTCTGAGCGCGTCTTTCGATTAGCGAATCCATGGCAGGAAGATATGATACGATAACCTAACGTATGTCCGAGAAAGTGTCTCAGAGGACTCTAGAAGTGACGATAGTGTCACTTACAATAGAGAAGATTCGGTGTTAGCGCAAAAAAGTGTGTAAGAGGACGGCCGGAAGAGCGTCGCTAATGGGCGTAAACTTCATGGACACCAAATCAAAATAAAGTGAGAACAACCGCTACTGCGACCGCCGTCAAGAACATCATTCGCAATATGGGATTTCCCGCCAACGRATTTTAGAGAAGTAGAATTCTCAAGCCGTTAGCGATAAAAAATTTAGAGAGTCGGGACTCTCGATGAAACAAATAATTTCCCGCATCCGGCTAATGACATCCCCGTCAAGAATATCTTTAACAATTGATAATTTTTCACCACGGTTTTCGCAAAAGTTGAACTTTAAGACCGTTAGCGATAAAACATTCAGAGAGTCAGGACTCCTGGTGAAACAAATAATTTCGACCGCCCAGCCACTTGGATCGTCGTCAAGAATATCTTTAACAATTGACAATTTTTCACCAAGGTTTTYGCAAAAGTTTAATTTTCAGACCGTTAGTGACAAAAAATTCAGAGAGTCGGGACTCTCGCCAACGGTCGTGTTCAAAATTAAAAATTTTAGATAGCTAGTGACAAAATTTCGGAGAGTCCCGACCCGGTTGAACGAAACATTCTGAACGTCAAGCGCCCGCTTGCGCTATAACTGGTTCCCGCCTGGGTTCAGTGCGGAATTTATCTTCTTGGAGACCAAACTACGAAAAATTGAAAGACCCCACTACAAAATTCCCCGAATTGTGAGAAAGACTTCCCAAGGTCGAGAGGGGAAAAAAAAAATTCAAACAGGATGAGCATCGTTGAGCGTCGTCGTAGCTTAGAGATCAGAAATACAAACAGAGAGAGAAAGAAAGCAGCGTCGAGTGTCGTCGTAGTTGCTTAGAGGTCGTGGTTGCGGTGTAGATCGTCGTTAGTATGGAACACACCAATATACAAACATAGAGAGAGAAAGAAAGAGAGAGAGAGAGAGAGAGAGAGAGAGAGAGAGAGAGAGAGAGAGAGAGAGAGAGAGAACTGTATTTGAAACTAAAGTAGTTTCACGGACACAATCACATGAAGGACTATCTTTCTCATTTCCTCCTCTACCTTGCGTGGGTGTTTCGGGTATATATTTTTATTAATAAGTTGCCAGGTTTCTTGAAATTGGCACCTTTCAGCACGCTATGAATCGGATATTCCATTACTACTTGGATAAGTTTGTCATCGTGTACCTCGATGACATACTTATTTTTAGTAAGAMTATCGAGGAGCACGTTGCGCACTGGGACATAGTCCTCAGTCTCCTGCGACAACACAAGTTCAAGATCAACGGCGAGAAGTGCGAGTTTGGMCGCACCCGTGTCTTGTACTTGGGTCATGAGATCTCCGCGGAAGGGTTAAAGCCCRATGACGCGAAGGTGGCCAGCATTCGTGATTGACCACGTCCTCAGTCTGTGACTGAGATGAGATCTTTCTKAGGGATGAGAGGTCGATGCAAAGAAGACGGATGRCACWTACATACATTAACCTTTACAAATRACATAAAGGACACAAGTCAGACAKGTTACAAATACAGTCCTACATCCCTAGATSMAGGTAAGGAACAAGAAGAAATGAGAAAGACAAGTTTTAGTATTTCTGTCCTTAGACTGAAATTCCACCTCGAACATACATGTTCTTCTCCGACCTTTAAAKGACTGTTTTTTTYCGTTTCGCAGTCATTSTTGTTTGAATCGGAACTATAGGSCTATATCTAGAAYCTTGGTTGTGGAGGACGAACATGGAAAGAACACTGAGGCTAAAACAATCTAAGCAAATGACAAYCGTAGTGCGTCATCGCATGCTTCAGATGTCTRAAAGCAGCCTCACACTGGTCTGTCCATTCCCATGGGGTGTCAAGGCGTGTCAGATCAGTCAAACGAGCGGCCACTATGCTATAGTTCTTAACGAAAGTCCTATAGTAGCTTGTCATCCCTAAGAAAAATCTCATCATTGTCACAGACTGAGGACGTGGCCAATCACGAATGCTGGCCACCTTCGC